AAGATTTGATACGCACTTAGATGTCAGCTTTGGACATCCGAGATCATGTGGACACGGCGAGTATACAGTGGCAGGAGGCAGCGCTGTTGGCAACTCCAACTCAGGAGGAACCTACAAATTTTGATTCGAACTTTTGAAACTGCAAAGCTACTTTCATAGAATGTATTCATCTTCACTAATAGAAATACATTAGGCTCACCATTTCACGAATAATCATAAACCGCTCCAAATCGCTAATGTGTTTATCGTTAAGGACTTCTTCAATTTGAGGTGACATCAAATTACGTTCCTACAAAACATAACTCCATCTGTAATTTCGTCCCCAGTTCTTCACTAGAATAAAGGCAACGACATATATATTTACAGCAGTAAGGGGTACAGCTAAGAGCATCCGTCTGAGAGTCGGGATGTCTTTTACGCCCAGAAGAAATCGAATCAGAGGTAAAGATGGAATTCAACTCACTTGCAACAACGACATGGTGTCTTCTAAATGCAATCGTGTACCCGATAGTAGAAGAAAGTCCCGGGCTTCCATCAATGCATCGAACGCGCTTTGCAAACCAGAATCAATGAGTATGAGGAACCTGAATCGATATGTAAAAGCGTCTCAATAAATCTGAGAGAATTTCCACAGTGACAACAGTTTAGTTTTACAAAACTTTCCATAAAATACTGCGGGTTCCCTTTTGTTTTTACATAAGCGTTAAAGGCCCGAAATAACACTTTTGAATCGAGACCATGATGTTCAATTCAGATCAGTGAGACTGACAGCCTTCTTTGTAAGGCAAATATGTCTCTAACCCCAAATTTTTCCAACTACTGAGTGTAAGCAACAAGCACAACAAGATATAAAATGTCTAAACAATTAGGGAGGAAGAAGCTCATTACCGATTTGTTCTCCTCCATAAAGACTCTATGCTTTGCAGTCGTGTTTCTCGTGAACCCAATTCACAAAGACTTCGATGAGCAATCACAAGATCATATGTCGTTTGGAGTGAAGGGACAGGTTGCCTACGGAAGTTCATGTTATTGTGCAGAAGCTTTCCGTTCTCATCCTGCAAAAAAGGATTGAATGGCATAGCCATTGAATATACGCTCGGACCTCAGCTCACCCTCATAATATCCATTGAGAAATGAGACAATTCGATCGATGGATCAACCATGCAATATTCTTTTACTGAGGTTCCAAAACGCTCGTTTACTGCCCAAAAACCTGCAATATAATGTAAAAACGAGAAATCTAAATATGTAAAAGTCAACTTAAGAACACTGACCTGCACCAATACCACTGCCATAATCCAACAAAGAGGTAGGGGAAAAGTCATTTCCTTCGAATTCATCGAGCACCCGTGCTATCTCCGCATAGTTAGGAGCCAACCTCAAATCATTACACGTTGGTGATAAGTCATCGCTGAGAAATTTGTTGCTTACCGAGATAAAGCGTAGGCAGCAGCAGCCTCCTTGGATTCGATTGCAAGGGGTTTCCAGTTGAAATTAGCTTTTTTGAGGATTTTATCGACTTGATGACGTTCCTTATAATCAATGCCTGATGTCTGGAAAAAGCTGCTAGTCTAACGGTGTATATATACATACCAGGTGTTTCTTCAGATGATACTGAAATTTGCGACGACAAACAGACAAACAAACAGACAAACAAACAAACACACCAAGGATGTGGTTTATATATAGTAAGGATATGTATATCTACTATCCTTATGAAATGTAGATACCTTGTAGGTACCAGCCTTCAAGAAGAGGTTCTTATGTGTTTAGTCTATGCAACTCTTCGAGGACTTTTAATCCGCACTCATGTAAGCTTTTCTACTACAGATATTCGGTACGTGGCGCAACTACACTCTTAGAATAGCGACAGGGCTCCAGAAAAGTGCAGTTCTTAGCGAGTCCAAACTCGCTCAGATAGAGTAAAAGAATGCGTATACCAAAACAAAAAAAAATTTTGTTCTTTGATGTAACCAGGTTTCATTATACTGGAAGAATAGAGTTTTGATTGATGGGTTGCTCACAAGGCTGAGAAGTTTGTACAAACTTCGACTTTCTCTGTAACTCCATCATGGCATTTTGTTGTTGTACTGCAAACTATAAAGAAGACAGAGTGAAGGATCGAATCTTTGCCTCTCTAATTAGAACCAATCATTAAGGACCAGACCCGATATCTGCACCAATGTCACAGCCTCTTATCAGCTTCCTAAGAAGGTTTCCTTTTTCGATATCTCACAGATTACAAAAACAAATATATCTGCAAACAAGAAAAAAAANAGCCAAGATGCCGCAACATTACTGCAAAGATGAAATGACGTAAATAAATATTAAAGGCTTCAACAGAGCAAAGCTGCAAGAATGAGCAGCAACGATTGCGTTTACAGTACCGATGCTATCGGCGATGGCAGTGCAAGTACTCTAAATGCAATAAATGAGACAATCGCAGATCACNAAAAAAAACCTTACGTTACACTTTGAAGACCAAAAAACTGATCGAGAATACAACGTACATGATTCTCGACCTATTGTTTTACCAAAAGGAAGAATTCAAACTATATGACAGACTTGTAGGCAGAAATCCAGGAATCACAGTTGATCAGAAACTGAATCTACCGCAAACGGGCAAGCCGGCGACACGGGCATATAGTCATGTTACTGTATCGTTTAAAATTTGAACATACAAGTTTTTCCTTCAGTAGACCGGACATCGCATCATCATCTTGTTTCTCTTTTAACATTTCCTTGACTTTATTTCGAACTTCTCGCACGACAGAAGCTGTAGCAGGAAACCTTCAAAACGGAATTGAAGCTAAGACGAAAAACAAAAGGGAAACATCAAGCAGTCAAGGTTTGAAAAATGGAATGAATGGAACGAGCAAGAAAAAAATACCTTCGTTGTGACAAGACTTCTGTTAGCTGGTCAGCTTCGTGCTGAATTTGTTTAGGTGACCTTTCACAAGTGATGAGTGCATTCCGCAGTCCTGATATTGCCTGTTGGGGAAGTGCATATATCCGCCTGAAAATATGTTGCCAAGAGAAATATGAACTTGCGATTAGTAATTAATTAAAAAATAAGTCTCAGTTCCAAAAAAAAGTGACGCAATGCCAGTGCAAAATTTTGATTTACGAATTTAAAGAATTTACGACAAGGTTGAAATTGCCTGTATGTTTAAGCTTGAAAATCTAACTGAAACTATAATTTTTTTTCTACGATAAAATGGTTTGTTTTATCACAGCAGTAATGGAACGCCACATAAAGATGATGTGAAGATCATTTAAAACAAAAGGTTCGAATTTGTGGACTTGAACTCCGTGGACTTGAACTCCTTGAATCACATACATAGATGAGCCCGTGACTATGATGAGCAGCGAAGTGATCGCTAATCTGAGGTAATAAGCAAGTCCTACTGGGAGCTAAGAAATAGGTACTCCCTTGTTTATTTAAGGAATTGTTTCGATCGCACTCGGAGACACCTTCAAGTTGGCGATCGATATCGGCCCTATGGGTGGGTTCCAAAGAAAGAAAATTCAAGCGACATTTCATGTCTCACCAAGCCATCACCGTCGTTAACAGTTTTTCATACCAATGGTTGTTCTTGCTTTTCTTGCTTGCTTTTGTCCACAACAGTTCAAAAAGTGACGAACCTATTCTCAGCACGGTGCGAAAACTGGATGCTATAGACGCAGTAGGTAGTAAAAGACCAAGCTATGTGCACTGTGTGCTTTATTCGTGACAGAGCATATTTCCGTCACCACTTCAGGAGAAAGATAGGACAAGAAATTGATCATGGGCTAAAAAACTCTATTCGAAATTCGAAGGACTCGCATGAAGTCGATTTTTTCGATCAAAAAGTCGGAAAAGTGCTCCATTCGTTTAGTGGAAATGTACCTGATCTTTCTGGATGGATTCTGCGAAAGTTTGAGCTCTACTATCGACCTTTCTTTTGTCATTACGTTCACAGAAGTCACATGGGCGACGCCATCAGAAATGGTCTTGTTGAAGTCTCTGCTTTCTTCCACTTTCGAAGTTGACGGAATTGAAGAGGAATAACGGCAGGAAGAGACTGCCGATAGTCGAGTCAAGCCAAGATGCCGCAACATTACTGCAAAGATGAAATGATGGTAACAAATATTAAAGCTTCAACAGAGCAAAGTTGAAAAAACGAGCAGCAACGATTGCGTTTACAGTACCGAAGCTATTGGCGATGGCAATGCCGGTACTCTAAATGCAATAAATGAGACAATCGCAGATCACTTCGACTTAACAAGCTCCTTTCCGGTATTTCCTAAAGAATGCTAGACAGTAGGTGGTTCAATAAGTCAGCTTAGACTCCGGGATATCAAACTAGTCGATCTCTCGCTAATTAGAGAAAGGATGACTAAGATCCCTATGATAATAGGCATGAAGAGCGGAACTGAGAGCTTCCGATTAGACCAGTTGGACGAGCATATATCTGGGATCATCACTACAGGATATCTTTTCTACATACCACCCTTGCATCCATCCAAAAAGCTGTGTTGTTAAAAGAGAGATGAATGCTGTGGGAACTCCAACGTTCAGAGAACGAAAGAAACTTAACCTAAGCGAAATTCGGCTAACTATTAAAATTCTTCTCTGACTCTCTCTGACGTGATTCCATGTTAAACGTAAGCGAACACTGGAAAGTCCTGTCCCTGTCAGTATCATAGAAAGGGGAGGATTACCTTTTTAAGACTAGGGGTGGACAGTCATTTACTAATACGCCCACCAATTCACGGACTACGACTTGAAAAAAAATAATGTATTGGCCTTTACCAAGGTTCGAACGACAAAAACACTCTATCTAGAGCACCAGATTTTTGACACTTGAACTGAAGGGAAGAGTTACTCTCTGAAAAAAAAANNAAAAAAAAAACTCGCTCCAACGGCAAATTCGCGCTAGACAGCATTCGCGCAAGGCGGCAATGTTGTCTTTTAAAATAGCCGAGGTTCCTGGCTGTACCTAAGGCAGTTTTTTGGCCTTATTCAAGTTGACTGAATTGGTAGGGACGTCTTTGTGAAACTTGGATTCGTAATGGCTCACTTGTCGCCTCCCCTCGATGAGTGTGCTTATTCGCTTGTTGAGTATACTTGAAAATTCCTACCATTTAAGTGTGAGCTAGCTGGGCCCAAATATCGGACTAGTCTTCTCCCATTGGTTTTTGGCTTTTTATGCCACATAGATGGTATCTTTTTTCCATGATAACTCGAATGTGAGAATTTTCTACTCTGAAAACTGCCCCTCGATCCACTTCGTTTTGGCGAGATCTAATTAGGAATCGTTTCCCAGCCATGATGTCTAACTCAATGGTCCCTGTGCCGCCACTTAGTCCGATCACTACCTGCCATTTTTTAGCTTTCAAGAACAGCCCGCTATGGAATTGGATAGCGGTAAAGAAAATGCGCTTCTGTTCTGGGTGAGTTTATGCCACTATTTCGTTTTTAGAATACCTTTCGGAAAGTATTTCAGTCATACCTTTCAGTTCAATACATACGGTACTTCGATTGATCTGGATGTTGTGGATTCACTGCAGGAATTATGGCCATTTCATATACCCTCATTACTGAATTGTTTGTAAGTTGCTCTATAATGTTGTCCTGGATTGGTTACGGGGTTTTCTTGCTTTCCCTTCTCATTGTTTCCTGAAACCTCTCATCATTGGTTTCTATTTTAAAAGTAATGCACAGAGTGAAGGAACTGCTCCTCATCTTGGTCGGTAGAGCATTCGCTTAGGCTAGAAGAGACTGCGATATAAAATTAATTAAAATAAAATAATTCGGCGGCTAGTCCCCGCGTGTTAAGACATGGACCAATTAGGCTGCTTTTATAGTCCGCCATAAGCTTGTGGCGATCGCCTAGGCCCAGACGCATTAGTCGTCCCCTAAGTGAAAGTTACCTTGTGGTGCTTGTCTTGACAGGATTGAAAATGATATTATTGTTTGCTCAAGCTTGTCTTTCTGTCATCGTTTTCCGTTAATTCACTGATTACTCGTCGCAGCAGGTATCGATTTTTTGATCGTCTGATCATCCAGAGGGCCTTCTAGGGTGGTGTATAGGTGGAGGGGCAGAGGGCAGGATCTCTGCTCTCATTCATGCCATCTTATCGGGGCTCTGCTAAATTTTCTGAACCTCATTTGAGATCAATCATTGGTAAAATTTCAACCAATCAATAACCAGCGATAACTATGTCGTCTATAAACTAAAAAATGCGAACAAGTTCTGATGCTCGTCAGTCCTGTCAGGCGCAGCAAAGTGCCATATTGAATATCTGACGCATGGCCTAGGCATAGCGGCATCTGTATTCTTAGTGGGAATGGAAGAAATTTTAGAGGACATCCTTTCGTCATTGACAAGCGCGTTAAATTTCTGATAAATTAAATTCTCCTTACAGACGAACCAATGATAACACGAAGGTGATGTCTAGCTCTGCATTGTCGACTTTTCAAGAATTATACTCTCATCTGGCTAGTGCGAACGACCAGGACATCTTCATAAAGCCACTTTCAGTGGAGAAAGCGGCGCAAGGGGATTCCTTCGAAATCGCCAAGGTAAGCGTGATGAAAGTTGATCAGAACGTTCAGCCATGTAGATTACGATCTATAATTAATCGGTAGCTCACCAATTTTCAGTTTCTGGCTGTATTTTTGAACGAATTCCGCATATCGAATCCGGATGTCATCAGAGACAGTGTCGCTCTTATGCAAAGTGAGGGAAAGGATGAGCCACTACGGCAAATTGTTAGTAAACCTTGCCTTACTCAGATCGCCATTATATCAAACACTGAATTTTGCTTTGCTTGATTACGTTAGGTTTCTTCTCACCTTTACACAAGTATGTGGTCCTGTCAAGAGAAATGGTAAAAAACGTGGCTGCTTTTTGAATTTGAAAACTACGTCATATGATTTTACAAAGCATCATAACATGGTAACTTTATGGTGATTGAATTATCGAAGTAGAGGCTTCTTCAGAGACTCCTTTTAGGCCAGAGTAGGCGATATAGTACGAAATCAGTGGTGTTGTTTGGCTCGGTTTTCCTGACCTTAAGCAATCTATATGACCCACCGCGGTTCTTCCGTTTAGAATAATAGACTTGGTCATGTAAGATCATGTGAAAGTTCATGGAATACTGCTGATCTCTGATATCCCTTAACATCCTCCTTATGACCTTTTATTTCTCAGTTGAGTGCATTCGATGAAGAGCAAGCTGACTGGTGGTCGGTTATGATCAGTCGCTCTGATCATGAAGTGGCAAGTGGAGACTGCGACTCACAATTCGTTACGCCCCAACGCCGTAGCGCATCCGTGGAGGAGTTTTCCGGGATGTCTGGTATGCTCTAAATTGGAATTTTTGTTTTTGCGCACATTACTTTATGAGTGTTTAGTTAACCGATCTGTATTTGTCACTCCTTGTGGTCCGACTAGACTTTCTGAAGGGCGTAGGAGGAATAATGCCGGAGCACATACCGTAGCCCGTTGTGATGGGAGTCCTCTTATGGATGTTGTCAACTCGCCAAAAGTGAGGTATGGATGTGCATTCGTTATGAAGTAACTACTCTAAAGTACGGTAGAGTTAATGATCTGTAATTTTGTACCCATCCTGAATTAAGCCTTCACTGATGATCGCTACTTCAGAGAACTGCGCGAATTACGCCGTGATCGCGAGATTAGGACTCTACGAAAACAACTGCACGATACAGAGGATCAGCTCTCGACCGCAGAATCACAAATAGACAGTTATAAACGCCAAATCGAATCTCTCATTGCAAAGTATGTCCTTTCCCCGTATTTGCTTTTCCGTTCATTCGACTGCACTATCGTGATGCGTTGCCAACAGGGAATCGAAGATGAATGTACGAATTCGTGAACTGGAAGCCAGTGAGAGATCGATGCTAAAAGATCGAGACAAACTGGAAGATGAATTGAGGGAGATGAAAGAGCAGATGGAGCAGTCGCACGATTTACGTGAGAATCAGAGGCAAAGGGTGGGTAATAGCAGCTTTATACATTTGATGTGCAAAGAGGGTTTTCATTGTACTTCTGCTTTAGATTGCAATGTACAAAAATAACGAGGAAGAGACGGAAAGGAAGATATCCCAACTCACCGACAAATTGAAAGCGAAAGAGTCTGCTCTTACTGCTTTAGAAAGACTGTTACGTGATCGTAATGACGATTTGGCTTCGACAATGCAGGTATATGAGCTCTTCAGGATGTTTTTGCCACCATTCATATATATTCATTTAGTCTCTACATGCTCTGGAGGCTGAGCGCGATAATCTATCAGTTTTACTCGAGGGGACAAAACAAAGTGCGGAAGCAGAAAAAGAGCAATATCTCGCTGCTGTGTCCGAATGGAGGAAGCGTTGCGAAACAGAGGTAAAATTTTTTATTCGTCATATTTTCTCCTGATAGTTGCTGTAGTTTTCCTTGCTATTGTTGGGAGGATCAGACTTCCAGCTACAGCCATATTGTGTTGACATTGTATAAGGAGGGTTTTTTGCGAACTGTTTGCGATCTCGTTGCTAATAAAGCGGAAAATTTCGAACACACCCGGGCAGTGTGGCTATCCGTGAGGTGACTCTGTTGGTACAAGTGCATTTTTCATTTCTTACCAACGTCGTATGCCCTCCAATGTTATACGTGGTGTTCCAGTCTGAGTCCATTTTCAGAACAGTTTTAGTCAATTCTGCTTCCTCCATCGTATTTTTTATGGGAAATCATGACATGTAGGTTGGTATCACATGCGCGATGGTCATTCTCGGGCATATCACAACATATCGTATAGATCTGTGTAGTTGTTACGGAAAACATGGTGGAATGTTTTAGACATCCGAGAAGATGTCCTTGTACTCTGCTGAAATGGTGAAAAATGCGGCCCTGCAGCAACAGCTTCGACTTCAGTCTGAGAAAATGGAAGAGCTTCAGAAACAATACGAGGAGAGCAAACGCGCATCTGAAAATATTCTTGAGGAAGTGAAGCAAAGTTACGTTCAGAAGTTAGACAGAGTAAGTATAGCACTCGGTGATTATTAATCTAGCTTGATTGCGAAAGAAATTAGGCTTGGCTAAGAAAGATATGTAGGCGGAAACGCTTCTGTTGCACGCAGTTTCGGTGTGCTTTGATCAAAAGCCTGTTTTTCCTTTACCTCCGGTTATCTATGTATTGTTTTGATCGGATTTTAGGTTTCAAAAAGGCTCGCTGAAGTTGAGGCTGATCTCGTCAATCGAGAAGAGCGCCATAAAAGCTTTGTTAGCGAGCATGAAGCAAATGTACGACAGCTTGAAAGTGCACACTTGGCTGATGTAGCTCAGCGTGATTCCAAATTGCGCTCCAGCCGCACAAGAATTGACGAGGCGAGTCCTTTCCGTGTACTATGCCAGTCGGATTTTTCAGTTGGTGATTGTCTATTCATTTCCAGCTCGAATCCAGCCTGACGGAGTGCAACCACGTAATTTTGCAACAGCGTAAAGAACTATCTGCCGTGGCAGCGGAAAGAGATAAGATTGAAGATGAGCTATCTCGCTTGCAAACGTCTTTCCATCAAAGGGACATTCAATTATCCGAGGCTAAAACGACTATAGACGAGTTAAAATCTCGAGTCGACGCTCTGGAAGCTCGGCACAGCGATGATATGCATTCTATGGAAAGCCTGCGAGCTGACTGCGCTTGCTTACAAGCTTCCATTGTTGATAAAGATTCTGAAATATTCGAGATGACGACACGACTAGACATGCTGGCATCACTATCGGACCTTCACAATAGTGCGTTTGAACAAGCACGAAAGGATCTTGAAGAAGAGCGAAAACGGCATAGTGAACAGGAGTCAACGATGTTAGTCACAGCCAAGGAAATGGAGCAAAAGGTCAGTGAATATTCGTATGAATTAGCTAGTCGTGAACTTTCAAAGAACATCTTGCACACCTTTCACTTTGGCACGCCTACCTGTCTCTCGCTACGCGTGGTGGCGTAGCGAGAGACAAGTATGTGTGCCAAGGTGAAAGATGTGCAAAACTAGTTAGCGCTATGGCTCTCGGTACAAAAGGAAACTAAAAAATCTTGTTATTCAAATGATTTAAAAGTTGAGAAAAGAAATCAGTGAGCTTTCCATAATAGCTACATTCAATCATTCTTCTGTCGTTTGTGGTTCGTTGGCTCTATGGACATCAGCGGTTTCGGTAGTCGTCCAGAGGATCTTCTAAGAAGGAATTACCCTTTCGCATTGTTCACCTCCGCAAAGATATTTCATTGAAAAGTTACTCTTTTCAGTTGAATGACTTGGCATCCAGGAACAGCAATGTTGAAGCTTCTTTTACTTCACTTCAAAAGGACCTTGAAAACGAACTGGAATCAGCACGAAGGGAACAGGTATGATCGCTCGAACAAAATGGGTAGAAGTGATATCTAGTAAAATTTAAAACAACTAACTTTTCATTTGTCTTCTGGAGCTGATTTAAACATTCCTGCAGGAAAAGTATAGAGCCGAGTGTGAAGCGCTGCGGCAAAAGGATATGCTGAGAAATGAGCAGCTGAAAGGGCTCGAAGAAAAGTTTGAAAAAATTGAGGTAAACTCATAGGATAGGGCAATGAAGTTTCTCTCCAGAAAGATTTCCAGTGGGATTTGGCTGAATACAACAAGCGGAACAGTGAACTCGAGCTACAAGTCGCGATACTGGAAGAGGAGAACGCACAATTTTATAAATGCATTGAATTATCCAACATGAATGCTGACAAAGAAATCAAAATGCGTTTCCCTGTGAGTTTTTTTCGATCATCTTGGCTTCTCGATGATTCCCTGTGTATATTTTCAAAAATACTTAAGAAATCTATAATTCTTCCACTTGGCAGGTTATATGTGCACAGGTATTCTATGAATCTCGATTGCCCTAAACTGATCTCAATTTTTTTGCACAAGAGTGTTATAGAAGTACGTTACTGATGTTTCATCCTTCAGGATGCTTCAGTGTCTAAAGGCACATTGCGAGGAGCAGTGCAACGAGTACCATCTCCTATTGGTGAGTTACAGTGTCATCCCTGGACTTGAACGCTTAAATGCACCCTTTTCCAGCCTACTCGATCTTTTTGACGAATGAAGATGAACCGTCCGTTTGTCAGATATCCACTACTGATCTGAAATGGGTCAGTCTTTCATTACTATGTGTTGTTTTCGATCTCATGGGGAATATGATCTGATCGATTTTTTTCTTTTTCATCGGATTACTGTTGCACGATTTACGAGAGGTTATCAAAGCTTTAACTGAAATGGTCTCAGGCCTTGGATCTTTGTATCCTGTCGATAAATTGAGTAGATCTGTTTGATTGTTCAGATGATCCGACATAGTCACTCGTCAGGTCAAGTGGAGGCATAAAATTTCCATACTAATGCAGCGAAACTATCTAGTGATGGTGATGAAAACTTCAGATACCTTTGGGTCATACATAGTTTACTTGGGCAAGAACCCATCGCATATGCTTGATCAATGCAGATGTTACGAGTCATTGAGGCTCTTTGTGGAGCCCTTATAACTTCACATATAGTTTTGGATCTGCGAGGTAGTAATGTAGAACTGAAGGATAGGGTATCTTCCAAAAAAGGCATTGCTGGGGATTCGATTGAACTGTTCGATGAGACCCAGCTATTTGAGATATTTTTCTTGTGGAATGCCATCTCACGACGTTATTTCTTCGCGGATGTTTTTTGAACAACGACTGTAACTTCTGAGTTTATTGTTTTGTGGTGTTCTTTTAAAGAAATGGAACACGTATAGTAATCGTCAGATCCCTATTGTACTGGGTTGTTTCAGATGGAAATGGAAGCGACGCCAACTCCAAATCCTGTTGCTCAGAAGCCGCCTCGTCCAAAGTCGCCTTCGAAAGCTGTTTTGATTAGAAACCGCAGCAGTCTCAGCCTACCAACCGCAAGCGGTGGTACTTTCGGTAGTTGGACATCTCTCAATAAGTCTAATTCGAAAGGCTCGTTGGATGAACATAAGTTTGGTGAGTTCAAGTCGTTTCCTTACGAAGTTATTGTAGCAGTATTCGTTAGTACGATTCTAGTACAGAGAGCTGAAAATGTTGCGCGAGCAAATTAGTTGCCACTTTTTTTCTTTCAACTACTCTTCAATTCCAGCTGTTCCTGAGGTTAAAGATGGAAAACGCCTACCTAATCTGGCTACAGATCGTTCTAGAATAGCCGAACTTCAGAAGCGTAATTCGTTAGTTCTATGCTCTTCTTATTGATCACCAGGTCATGATCATTCAGATCTTCTACTATTGCAGAATGCTACATCCAGCCATGCGTTGCGCTTACGGGACGGAGGTGAGCAGCTACAGCTCGCCATCAGGAAGCGAAAATGTGGTGAAACAAGGAAGTGCCAGAAGAAAGAGCGCAAAAGTAAGAAACAACTATTCGAATGTAGTAGATTTCGTAAGATAGTGTACTATTTCAGTTCTTTCAAAGAGCTTCCTCATATGTGAAAAAGAAGCTGCCTATGTCAGAATCGACCAATTTTCAAAAGTAGTCCTTCAAAGTTCTATCTTAAATCACTTTCACCTACTAACTTCTCGATACATAGTCTATTTCATCGGTTCATTTGCTGCCATTAATGATTTACTGCCTTGAACTGTTTTACTTCCTTATTTGACAGTTTGAACGTTGCTAAGAATTCTTCCCCTACATTGCAATTTTAAAGCTGTAAATGAAATTCCTAATGAGTAGATCTGGGCTTACACTTACATCCTGTCATCTGTACCTTCTTTGTAGATACCTATTCGTACGTGATTATGTGATAGCAAGTTTCAGCCGTTTGATATACAGGTTTTATTACTTACTTAACATTCTTTTCACCTTACTAGTGTGATTTATGAATAAATTTTTAAAAAGTATCAGTTGGTTTCCTGTGAAAGTTGTTAAAATCAGGGATTATCTCGTAGTGTGTAGTTTTGTAATAATCTGGAGGCTTCACAAATTGTTTGTCTATCACCTACTCCCTCCTAATTGTGGAATAAAGTTCGACTAGTGAGGGTGATGGTGCGATTTTACGAGATTATAAACTTTATCAAGCCAGTATTTCGACCTTTGGCTTCTCAAGAGCTTGGAAGTCGGGAAACCACTATAGACCGATCCGTAACAGTTTCAAGACATAACTTGTTTTGACTTGATGTTTTGTTAACTGCTGTTATATCGCCGTACGCGATGCGAAAGTCTCACAAGGATGGCGATTTGTGAAATATAACAGCAGTTAACAAAACATCAAGTCAAAACAAGTTATATCATGTAAAGCTTACAGCTTAATGGTTATGTGCTGATACTGGCCGACCGGCTCAACACGTTGTACGTGTGAGTGCTGATAAGTTATGGCATACAAGCCATTAAAGGCACTGTTCNCGATGATTCAATGGGCGGATGTGTCGATGACGTGTCCGCCTCTCATTCGACGCCACGTCAGACTGTCTGACGTGACATCGAATGAGAGGCGGACACGTCATCGACACACCCGCCCATTGAATCATCGCGAACAGTGCCTTTAAGAAGGCGGGGGCAAGCGGGGTCTCGATAGTGTAAGGGATAAGAGCACGGTCCCCTGAAAGGACAAGTACGGGTTCGTCCCGTCCGAGACTGAAGTTTTGTCCACAAATCGTCATCCTTGTGAGAGTTTCAAGGCAGTCCTCTAGACCAGGAACCCGCCTGAACTCAAACAATGCAAGGGCGCTACATGAGATGACACTGGGGTTGTGTTCCAAGTACCCACACGTAATCTGACTCCAGAGGGTGAAGAATGTAGGCTTTTCAGAAAGCGTTTATTTGAATATTTCAGAGAGAAGGATGCTCTGTGAAAGTGCATTCCCGGCAGTTCTAATTGCTAGAAAGTCCTTTCGGCTACGTTGGAAACTTGCAGCAAAAATTTGATGTTCTAGTATTAGTAAATGTACGGTGAAAATGTAGTGGGGGTTGCAGCTCTCTTTTGTGCTCTGCGTCTCTGACACCAGACTGCAGAGTGCATGGGGACCGCACTAGAATGCGAAGATGGTTTCATTCCCTTCTCAAAGACAGAGGAGGAGCCCCGGAGTGGGTGGGCCAATTGGACGTTCAGTTCTTAGCCCATCTCGCAGAGCACAAAAGGGCGCTGGCACCTCTCCGGGGGGCGCGCGATTCACGCGTGACCCCATTACAGCTCTACGCGCACGCAGCATTGTTTCAGTACCTTTCTGTTGAGATGGACCAAATAAATTTGCAGTAGTCCACGGCTTCACCATGAATTAGAGAAATATCTTTACTATGGCCATGAAGCCCCTTCGAGATTAGGAATTCACACCATAGTTCGTCAATTTACTTGTCAAACGTTCAAAATAATAATAACTTCAAATTTTTTGATCCTAGAAAACGCAGTCCTTCTGCAAACGTGCACAGTTGGTTATTTCTTTACTTATTCCACTTATAAGTTCTTATTTATTTCATTATGATGGTAGGCATTATGTTTTAGCGTGTTTTGCTCGATGACCTCATTATATTGGCGCGTGAATCGCACCACACCCGCACCTCTCCCCCTCCCCCTCTCCACAACCACATTTTCACCAAATGTTCTTAAAAAAGTGTTCTTCAAAAAATAGATGTTCTATTAGAAAACTTCAACATCCCCGAATAAGTAACCAGAAAGGGCTTTCATAGATTCTTATTGAATTGATTGGCTCGATCCAAAAATTGCAGCCTTGGGTCTTAAGCTAGAGGCAACGAAGCATGAAGTAGGGTTCCCTGACGGATAGGTGAAGAGGCAAGTTATTGAAAGCTTTGGTCTCCTTTCTGGAGTGCCTTATCGGAATGAAAAAAGGCCTCCCGAAGAATTGAAGCTCTTCCGAAGTATAGGGGAAGGGACTTTTGTATCTCAATAACTATTCATGAAGCACTTTTGGTTGATGTTTTGCCTGCATAAGCACGGTGTTTTCTCTGCAGTTCACTTATAATTAGAGGATCGGTATTGGTTAACGTGCTCCATCAGCAATAGCGCGCTCTAAATCATGAGTAAATTGCATGACAATTTTCTTCTTGAAAACTGAAACATTTGTAAAACAGTTCGTTGTTCTCAGCATTCCTTGCAGTTTCTATATGTTTAGTTTTGCATTAGTCGAAAGTGAAGGGATTTTTATTGTTAGGGAGCACTTTGTATAAAAAATTGAGCATCTGTGCTTTTATTTCCTTTTTCATAATCTTTGCTTTTTAAAGCCATTCTTTCAGCTAATGTTGAAAAAAAAACTTGTTTTAGGATGGCGTGCTCCGAAATACAGCAAAAAGTACTCCGTATGGAGTTAGATAGAGGGGGTGCCTTTGATTTTTCAAACTGTATTCGTAATATGGCACTCGCCAGGATGGGAGCGCCTGCACCCAAGGTTCGCTCAACGGGTACCACCATTGTTGCTGCTACATTTAAGGTTGGTTTATAAGTGGCTCATTTTATATATAGCTGGCTCAGTTTTTTTCACAGTATTCCATTTATTCCTTGTTACTTGTTTTGGAAGTATTCCACGCGATTGAGTTGAAACCGCTTGTCACCTGAGCGACTGCCTTGCTTTTCATTTTATGTCTCAGCCTTAATTATGGCCGTAACATGTTTATAAAGTGGGCCTCTTTCGTTACATTTATTACTAAATAAACACTGTGGTGCGGGTAGAAAATTCGATCATGGGATCTCTTCATATTCGGTACTACCCTCCTGTAGAGTTTCTTGTCATAGCTTTCATTACCGCTTGGGGTTCCTCTTTCTGAAGTATTAAAGTAAGCGGGCGGAAGGTTACATCGAGTAGGAAAGACTTGATCGGTGTGATATATTTAAGCTGACAAGCGCTTCCCAGGTCGCAGTTTCTTACTGCACACTTTACTCAAGACTTCTTCAAGTTTATTCAAGTGGTTCTAAAATCGCACTACTAATATTTTGTTGTCTATTTCCAGGGTGGACTGGTTATGGGTGCTGATTCTCGTGCCACAGCTGGTAATATAATTGCTGACAAGCACTGTGAAAAAGTTCACTACCTAACCGATTCCATTTACGCGTGCGGAGCCGGTACTGCTGCTGATTTGGACCAGGTATTACTATTAGAATCTTCATAATTATGTTGACGGAATGTTGTACATGTCTATTGAGTGACTTCAGGTATGCAAAATGTTGTCTGGAACGTTACGCCTTATGGAACTCAATACAGGGAGAAAAGCGCGAGTTATAACTGCTCTTCGTCATGCTAAGCAGCATTTATTCAACTATCAAGGCTATGTTGGAGCATATCTGCTCATAGGTACCTTTCAATCGCAGTTACCGAGTTGCTAACTGTTTAAAGCAGAGGACATAAGAGTTTTTTGAACACATGATGGGAATTGATAAACTGATTAACAACTTTTCTTCCTTGTTAGTTTGTTGCTGCTAAACTGATTGAACCATGCGTTAGGTGGCGTCGACCCTACTGGACCACATTTGTATGAGTGCTCAGCAAATGGTACGACTATGGCAAAGCCGTACGCTGCTCAGGGTTCTGGAAGTTACGCTGCTATTTCGATTCTGGAGAGAGATTTTAAGCCAGACATGACGGTAGGTCCTCTGTGTTTGCTGTTCGTAGTCTATTGGGAGTATTTGTGTCCAGAATTATCGAGTCGAATCATCCAGAGTGTATTTTTCTTTTTCACAATTTCTTTTGTTAAAGGAAGAAGACTGTGTCGCTCTTGTGCAGCGTGCTCTGCAAGCTGGTATGCACGGAGATAATGCCTCCGGAAATAGCTTGAACTTCGTGGTCATGCGACCAGGCAAGACTGAATTCAAGGTAATTCATCACAACCGTTTCATGGATAAATGTAATATTTCTCTACATTTATATAAATGACTTTAATGCCGCTTTTGCTACCCTTTTCTCAGTCAAATTAGGCACAAAAACCCTCTAGCCTTTCCCAGTTTCTTACAATGGCCTCATGTATTCCCACCTTTAACTGTGAGGAGTGTCGCCCAGTATGCTCCAACGGAATGTTTTTTCAAGTATAAAGAATAATGTGAGTATGAGTCAATATAGAGTTAATAGAGTTTCCTTCCAGTTTAAGTCGAGAGCTTCTATTTACAGGCCTTGCACTTTATTATCTTACCAAATTCTATGGCTAACACATACGAGGGGATCAGTTCATCAATTAGGAAGAGACATCGATATCTCACCAAATTTTGTTTTATTGATTTATTCAATCTTTTTTATTTTATTTATTCAAGCTATTTTTTGAATTTTATCTGCTTATTGCCTTATTTGCATGGTTGCTGCTTGTTTTAAACAAAAATTATCACGTATTTTTCTTATTTCGCTGTAATAGTATCCCATTGTGGTAACCAACTGAACTTTCGTTTTTTTTTCAGGGACCTATTGTGCCGAATTTCTGCAAGGTTCCTGAGCCGATAGACTTGCAGTACAAGTTCAAGCCTGGCTCGACAAAAGTTTTGAAGAAAAAAGTCTATAAATTTGATGTAATTGAGTCCATGGATGTGAGCCACTGATGATCCGTTGTTTTTCTTTTGAAAGTGAACTTGTGTGACTCTTCGTTTTTCGCCCTCTATTTATTTGATACCAGTATCTGCATGGTAGTAACAGCCTCATGAAAGTTTATTTGATTTGGCGAAGTAATAAATGATGGTTAAGCTTTTTTTCAAGCTGCATGTATGATGTGTATCATGATTAATGTCCTTTATGTTGCTGTTAGGTTACTTCAATGCCATCATATCAATGCGCGAATTTCTTGTAAGTGGAAAACTAGCGCCCACACCAAACGTTCACACCTGATCGCAGTGTGTGTAAACACGAGCTACATTAGGTTTTTTGTCTTTACAGTTGATTTACTGCTAGACAGGATTTCAAACGCCACGGGAACATTCCCGAAGGCGCTTCTTATAGGAAGGTGTTATAGTGAACCGATCACTACATAAGATATAATAATTAGAATGAAGAAGGTGAATTGTTAAAAATCCTTTCCACCTGAAATTAGAAGCAGGAAACGGCTCGGCATAATGACAAGAAGCTCAATAGTTATTGGAGTTAATGCTAGATCGGAAGTAGAAGGGGTTCTTTAGCGTAAGAGTACGTGGGGCTGGATGCACAAGAATATAAGAGGGTGAGCACAGAGAAAAAGCATAGAGATGATCCCGAAACCGGCTCCAGCGAAGGAGATTTACCCTAGTGTGCCGGCATGCTACCACTTATATGAATAGAAATCAATCAACCATCAAATGAATGTTTAATTCATCCCCATTTCCGGCTTTCCCATGAGGTAACCATTTCACTTACCCTGGTGCTCCCCCTATCCTAAGGTCGAGGCTGGGTAATAAACTAATGTTCCCTGTCTTGAAAGCGTTCCAGGCCCACATAGCCGGCTATCGCGCAAAAGGGAGCCGCACTCGGGCGTGCCGGAAGGCACAGTGTAGAGGTAAGATTTGAATTTTTCCCAGGAGATAACTTTACTAGCTGCCGCGACACTCCTGCAGCGTGCGCGCGTGCGACCGTGAGAATTTGCGTACAAACCCCGCCCCTTGCTGATGCGGGGTACACGCTGACCTCCCGTATCCTGACTAAAGCGCGTTGAAACGGATTGCAGTAATTGTGGAAGATAACAAGTATAAAATAAGCATTTATATTTTAACATTAGATAGAATAAACATATACATAACACATAACAAACAAATTTTGTGAGATAATGCATTCAGCAATGGCTTTTGATCTCAACTGATCACTTTGATCGATCGGCGGATTTTGGGCAGGCGTGATGGCGGGAACTAGAAGTGATTTGATAAGCTATTAATGACGTCACAATTCCGGCACGAGTCCCTGTTGTTGAAGGTACTCAGCGTACTTGGCATCATCGGCTGGATTAGTTAGATACCTGAAAATAAATGGGTCCGGGTCAGGGTAAAAAACTTTTTGATGCACCGATCTCAGTTTATTTTCTAGGGCCAATTTAATTCTGGGACATTTTATAGAAACGAAGTCTCGAAAGGCTCGGAATTCAACAAATCATCCTGTTACTGTAATGATTGGGCAATCGGATGTCATTGTTCTATGGGCAGAGCTAGCCTTTGAGCACCACAAGAGTGTAAAGGTAGTTCTATGAAAGTATTCAGCCAATTATCAAATGAGGCTCTGATCGGGCTTGATCCGGGAACCTTTTTGTTTCAGTTCTGAGAATTCCATCATGAACTCCCGGACAAATTTGCTAGTACTCCTTTCAGGTGGCCGAATCTTGGTTCGCCGGACTCAACAGGACTACGATATCTGACTTACCGTGGACACTTCAATCGCAATTCTAAACTTCGTAGATCGCGATATAGTTGCTCTCCCTTCAACCATTCATGTGCCAAACACTGTTCGATGGTGAGACGCTCCTCGATCTGAACTGTTTCTATTATAAAATATCCATTGAAATTAGCTTTCTAGGAAACACGTTGATGGTGCCAAGTTGCGTTTTTGTAACCAAAGAAATATGTAATCAGTCACTACCGTCTACATACTTACCTCGGTACCCTGTAAATCAACCTCGGTAATGTACTCACCTTTACCCGTAGTAATCGTTGAATCAAATCTATGGCGGCAGGTGAGACTTCTGCCCATGGTTCAGCTGGGAACATGAATGCAGCATTTTGAATTTGATCAGCTATCTGAAATACAACTGGTAACTTGAAAACAGTCAAACTATCAGATATGTAAGAAGGCCTCTCATCCTGAAGGAGGAAGCTGTTAGACTAGACCCTTGATGCGAAGACTCGTCACTTCCTAATCTCAAAGACACAGTTCACATTGAATATGGTTTCTGAGATTTGTCCCTGGAATGAACCTGTGATTCTCCAAGGATAACCTAAGCAAAGCTATCGCGCCGAATAGCGGCCAAGATAGGGAGTAATAAGGGCTTTAAAGTCGACTTAGCTGACGTACATACCAAGGCGGGCGAGTTCCTAAGCGTTGCGAGAGCTGTAGAGGTTGCAACATTCGCACCGGGACCCACAGTTTGCAAGCAGGCAGCTTACTGCAGCCAGCTGTATGCAATGGCGCGCACATTTGAACAGTCGTCCAAATCCCCTCTTCCACCATCTTTTTCGTGATATCTTCGTCCAACTTCTAATTTGGGTATGTTTTAAAGCCTTATAATATACTTTACAAACATGCTTATCTCCGCATTTGCTTCGCCGTTTTTACTTTATTTTGGACAAATAATACTTCCACTGTATTCCACCTTGAGGCGAGTAAGAGCCACTTCGAAGGCCTCAATGAAACAAATTTGGGAGACGCGATGTAAAGAATACTCACCGATGTAATGGATGGGCTTTCTCTACCTGATTAATCAATGCTGCTGTCTTTGCTTACTCCCCAATTTCAACAGCCTCACCTCTTCTCCTTCATTGAACGGGAATGTTCCAGATAGTGTAACGTAGATGATTACGCCGACCGACCACATATCCAATGATTTATTGTAACCTGTGATGGAACCGGTTAAATGTAGCTACATAGCCTTAGAAAAAAAGGCAAAAACCTTGTCTAAGCAGAACTTCAGGCGGCAGATAGGCTGGTGTACCCACGATCGTCTTACGGAACTGTGACTCGGGTATGAACCTTGGTGAAAGCTCTTTCAGATAGACATGTGCAAGAAAAAGCGAAACATGGAAAATTTAAGTGTCGTGATATACCTGGCATAACCGAAATCGCATATCTTCGTTTGAGGAAAGTTCGTGTTCGTCTCAGACAGAAGAACATTTTCAGGTTTCAAGTCACAATGTGCGATTCCTTGATTGTGAAGATATTTGAGGGCAGAGAGGATCTGCACGAGAAGGAATCGAGTTGCTCGCTCGTCTAGACGACCAGCTGCCTAAAATAAGAAATCAGCTGAGCCCTCGAAGTTGATTTTCCTACTCTGAGGTCGAGATAAGAGAGAAAGAGGTAGTCGCGATAGGAACAATGAAGTTATTTTTGCATATTAACAAAACTGGGCGAAGGTGGTGTAGTGGCAAATGGCACAAAACTTAACACACGCATGGCCACGGGTTCGAATCCCGGATAGATATCCGCCTAGGCCAACCAAGCCTTCCATCCCTCCGGGACGGTTAATTGCTACCAGACTCGTCTGGGAGTATGAGAGCACTGACTTGTACATCGGCTGGCCACGACAAGTCATTGTATGCCAGGTACACGCATTTAATACGTCACTACGATCTAGAATAGAAGTCGAAGGCGTGGGCGCATCCCTCAGACGGGATTGAGTAACGCCCCAAGACTTTATACTTTCATTAACAATATCGAATGCCTAACATCGACTACTGATAGATCCAACTACGCGTGTAATTACTATCGTGGCTCTCGTCAGTGAGAAGGGAAAGGGGAGGGAGGAGGAGTAGGGAAAGGATGGATGAATGAGATGGATCGTTGATTTCGCCTTGTAATCAAATCTCAGACCACCCAGATCTTTCCGCTTGGCAGACCACTTTATGTTAAGCATATATCTCGGCCTGCCTCAGAATCGCCTTTTTCCTATTCTTAAGACGTGGGAATCATTCTTCGCGCTTATTGGTCGTCAGTTTACATAAGTCCGATGCATATGTCTTTCATAAGTTAACAAGCAAACATAACTCACCTGGCTGAGTATCATTTCAAGCATGTCACCGTTCATCTTCTCCATTACCACAAAGATCTTGTCTTTCGTCTCGCACATGAATTCCAGTCGAACAATGCCGCTATGACAGACGCGTTGTAATATCGCCACCTTTGAAAAGTATTTCAGTCAGTTACTGGAAACAATTTTGAGGAGAGGTACTACTGCAAAGCCATGAGTTGTAGCTTTATTGTGGTGAGTCATGCCGTAACCCGATTCATTTTCCGGAGCTCAGATCCCGCATGAGTCACACGGGCCCCTCACCCGGGTAAGGTCAAANTATTATGGAACGTATTTGTTCTCGGATGTAGAAACATCGGATTCTACAGAGAGAGTTGTGCAGGGGGCTTAATGGTCTTACATATGTACATATCTTCGAGAGGTTGTTGGTGTAGGTAGGCCGGCCTTCTCTATTATCTAACGCTCACCTCCACAGACCAGCCCGCGATAAGATACGGTATAACAATAACTACACAGAAAGAACCTTTGACGTCTGGTAAGCATATAGTATGTGGCTTATCGTCGAGAAGTTAGTTTGTAACAGCTCACCATTAAGTCCCCTACAAGTCCAACGTTGTTTCAAGCATATGGGCGGAGGGAGGGGGAAATGAATCGTGGCAAAAAAATCTTGACAAATACGATTCACTTGCAAGCCAATATTCTCAATAAGCACCAACAGCGTGAAATGCTTCTTACCTCTGCTCGCATAGACTCCACCCCATTGCTCTTCTTCGAAAAGCGTTCCTTTGATATTACCTGAAAAAGTGAAGAACTGTGTTGGCGTAGTATTATACAGAATCGTGACAGAGAACTTTTCAGGTAAAGTCATTATCAGCAGCAGGATAATGATGTTCAGAGAGGGTAGAGGGAAGAACAGGAAAAAGATACCTTGACTGCCACCTCGACTCCTGTATGTCGTTGGATTGCGCTGTACACCGTTCCAAATTGGCCTGATCCAAGAACCTTCTCGCTGAGGACCTGAAGGGGCGATGTTGAGACTTGAATTATCAACATTGCTTCAGAGGTCGTGCTACACTGCCGGAAAAGTGAGAAGAATCTCGATTGATGCTACTTGCTCCAAGGTATGGCTTAAAGCCATGGTTCAGTAATCAAATAAGTTCAGGCGCTGTAAAGAACGAATCGCTTATTTGATGAGCTTATTGATACCACCCGGCACTTCATTCAGCACAAAGAATTAGTGTTACATGGACTGTTTACCCTTGCACGACTACCAAAGATGCTTTCTGGTTCACTATGCGATTAGGCGCGGTCTCTGCGACGCGTAAATGACGCGTGCGGTAATCGATACGATGTTGGTTGCGTCATTGGTGTATGCTAAGATTGGACGTGCTTTAAACAATCTTTTATCCGATTTCGAAGTGTCAGGAAATGTAGGTGAAGACCAGAGAAAATGTACTAAAGGCTGTTCATGAAAAAAAAACCAAAAACCAGTCCTCCCTTATGCAAAACAGGCAGACTAGGTTCGGTCGTAAACTGTACTATTTAATGCTTTCATTTTAAAGAGGACTTTGTAGTTCACCTGGTACAATTCGGCGAACTCCAATGCGCGCTCGGCATTCGGTGCATCACTTCGACTCACTGGAGGTTGTAGGGCGTCCTTCAGAGCCTGAAAAAAAGGAGCTGATCGTAGTAGTGACTTTGGGCATTGATCTCAAGGGTATGCCACGCCGGCACAGCGCAATGTAGTAAGTTTTACTCAAAGAAATAATAATCGCGGGATACCAACAAGGCCACCTACTTAAAATGACCGTAAGGGTGCGAGCAGAGCCTACGTGGATAACACTGACATACCCAAAAATGGGAAACCTTACATTTGGCTAGTCAATTTCAAGAGTAAAAACCACAAAGCAGGCGAGTGATAAGAAAAGCAAAGTACCCAAATCAGCGCTGACAATACCTTGAAAAAAGCTGTAGGGGACTTGTTTCTCAAAAAATTTGATCCGCGACGAATTCTCTGAAAACATGATAGCGTTGTACAGAAAAAGAAGCTAATGGGCGACGACGCGAGGACAAAAAAGCGAAGGCGCTGTAAAGCGCGAATTTTGGAGACAGAAACGAGAATTCAGTACGCGATCTGTCCTGCACTGGCCAGCAACGCTGTCAGTCGGTCGGTCGGTCGGTGAAAGCAATGCAGGTCTGGAACTCTGAAGGCACTCATACGCGGAAGCGCGACATGCCGTCCAGTTAAAGGCACGGTTCACGACAAACAAGGTTACTGAGTTCTTCTCTTAGGAATACTCAGCGCCCCCCATGGGTGGTAGAAGGGACCCTCTCGCTCCCACAATCTCGGCGCTTAGGGCATAGTGGAAGCCCCGTTATTGCCGTACTTCGCTTTCCCGCCCCTCGATCGGTGTCACGTTAGAATACAGATTGCTATTATTCGTTCTAAGACCCACGCACAATCAGATAATCGCCGAGTGATGAGGCGATGTTTTTCTCCCATTCTTTTTTCCCCTGTTTTTCTTTTTGCTGCTGCGATCCCTTATTTAATTTCCTACTCCTAGAGGCTGATAAAGGTGAACTACTTTTGCTGTTCTTGGTTTTTCTGTTTATTTATGCTCATAAGTGAATGAATTTTTGCTTACCATTGCCTGTTCTTCGCACCAGGGCCCACACGCGCGCAGTGAAACACACTGTTTAGCTCGTCCGGACGCCCCACTCTTCTTCATTTTTTGTGGTTTCATTCACGTCCAGCCCCTTTTTTAACGTTTTTTCAAAGCCTTTTTTCACTATGGAAACACCGATGCACGCAGTTTCTTCACCTCAGTGCCTCTTTTCACTTTGGAAACACCGATGCACGCAGTTTCTTCACCTCAGTCGCACTAATTTCGATCTTGTCTTCAATTTTTCATCATAATCTGAACTACCCAAAATTATCGTGAACTGTGCCTTTAAACACCACACCCACATAGCCCCTAGTCTACCAGGGTGCATGCTCTGTTCCTTACCCACGATCCTTTTCGATGTACTCAAGTGATTGTGTACTCAGGCAAGGGTTTGCAGCGGAAGGAAATATGTTTCTGTAAAACTTCACGTTTTTGTAAAATCCAGTGCATTGTACTTTATCGTAAGAACCGAGTGCCCGTATCGAATTTTCGTTCCTGTCTTGTGCTAGCGCTGTGGGACATACTGAAGCCAAAGTCGTGCACACATAGGAACACAAAGCAGAGACGTAGACATGTTGGTCGTGCTGAACTAGCCACATTCATAGAGTACTACTTTCCTAGCATTAACATTGATATCATATAAGTGCATCTATGCCTTCACGTACGACATTCTTATACAGCAGTAAGAACGAGGCTAACTATTCCTACGATATTAGGAAGAATAAGGAAAGAAAGACAGGCATGAGACAAAAAGGATTCCACAGTCCTCATAGAATTGTGGTACAGTAATCCTATGTAAGCGCATTCATAGTACAGGCGTCGCGACACCGAATTGATATCTCGCGAGCGAGCGGCAGAGAGCAAAAGGGTGCGGTATATTATATCGGAGAAAATTCGAGTTCCCAGCGAAATAATGCCGCAAAACCAATGCCGCTTGCCGTGAGAATTCGGGTAGAAATACTGCCGATCGGAACGAACAGGTAGAAGAACACTCAAAGAAGGGGTTCAAGCAGAATGAAGATGGAGGCTGTACATAGTTGATGAGCGTAACAGAGCCTGTGACAGAGTAAGGTAGCTAGAGTAGGTAACAAGTAGAAAATGAGTGGATCCTTCTTTCCTTTGTAACTACTTCCTCGAACAGAGAAAAAAGGCATAGCAAGAGTGAAGTGGCGAGCCCAAAATTCATAAAATATTCGATAGGTGGTTGGGTTTAGTATAGAACGGGATCAGATTCTGATATTAGTATGAAAGTGTCACTGTTTTTTGCTAAAACAGTGAATCGTGGCAGTGTTGTTGTAAGAACACAGAACATCTACATTGCAAAAATACAACTGACCTGAAACCAAAGTTGAGTATTGGATGGCGGCCGAATGCTTAGACTTCGAGGGATCTTCTTCGGTGGACCACCAGAGTAAGCATGAAGATTCTCTCCGGCACAATAGACAACGTTGGATATCGTCCGAATTTCGAAGCAATGAGGCGGGTACCTTAAAACGAAAATACGCCTCAGCAGAAAACATCACCTAAAACTGAACGACGGCTCAAGGGCGATGGCCACGATGAGGCCGGACATAGGGAGCAGTGGACACAAGTGGCGAAAGGGGTTTTGTGTTGTGTATGCAATGAGGAAGTTGATAAAAATCAAGATGCCCTGAATGCTTGTGACTTTTCCGCCTCTCAGTTAACGTATCAACACAACACTTGAGAGGAGGGTTAGAGGGGGGGGGGGGGGGGNTAATAAGGGGATGGAGGGAGGGTTGATGGGTAGGCAGTAAGATGCTACTCCCTGCTGCGGAGTTTTGCTTGAAATTTTCCTATGAACCTGCGCTGAAAGCTGTATCGAGGGGAAGAGAAAGGCTTGGGTCTTTGTCAACCGAAAGTGCTCACTACATGAATCGTTCAGATCCGTCTTCCTGTGAGATACCTCCTACAAAACAGAATGATTAGTTCAGGACCACCGTACATAGATACAGTGAGTTTGGGGAGTGTAAGTGTAAACCTTGTAATCATGGGAGCATTGCCTCTTCCTCCGCTGGTACGCCCCATCCTTCTAACGGGCCGGTTCTTTGATACAAGAAGTGTAAAACAGTGCATATTTCCTAGAAGAACAACATTACAGACGAACTTGGAGTGAACCGATGGTCCATTGTAAGGAGTGATGGCAAGAATTTCAGCTAGAGGGAGTACCATGTAGCATTTGTTAGGATTCACGCCTGAATTCAGAAGCTGAAGCAATTTCATTGGGAACGAACAAGGCAAGAGAAATCATTTTTAGTTAATTTTTCTTTTTCCGAAGAAATTTTCCTAAGATGTGCAAATATCACAGACTGTCTGATTGAATCTGAAAGAGATTCTGATTTCGGAAATAGAAAATTTAAAGTCCCCAAAATATTTGGTAAACATCTCGATCAGCCTACCTCTGTCGAGCGGAGAAAATCGGATACGCTTGCCTTCGTTGTACTCGTTGTACATGTTGATAGCATCATTTGCAAGAATCCAATAGTGTTTCAGTCTTCGTTCCGGATCCGACAGCAAAAAATGAATCATCCATCCTTCGACTTTCGGTTGTGTGGTGTTTCTGGAAGTGACTTGACCTGAAACAAACAAACATCGAAATATTAATTTTTTTGGATGTATTTTAAACTTTTTCTTGTTTTTTTTCAAGATATAATTCCTTGATTTCACTTTTCACGACAGATTTCACAGCCTTCGGTCCTATTACAATAGTTCCAATCGTACCGTTCAACTGATCTACACATCGGAACTCGGAACCGTACAAGATTAGGAAACGGGTTTCTAACTCTGAACCACACACATTCAGCTGAAATGGAAGCCCGGTTGGCTGAGTAGTAATCCTTCCGTGACGTAGTTTGAGTTGCTAGCGCTATAAACATAGGTCATAGCTCTAAAAATGGGACTATACACCAGCGATGGAAGTCAGGTCCAGTTCTAAGCCCTCACTGGCCCTATCTAGGCCGTTTTTCCATCCGGCCACGTTCCTGTAGTCGCTTCAGGAACCCTAGTCCCCTACCACTGAGAATTTCGAACCGTATTGATAGTTAAATACGGGTATTGTGCAGTGCAGCATCATAGGCGTGTAATAGGATCGTGTTAATAAGCGCCCAGGCCAACTATCCCTCCGTTGCTGGTCACTGGACCATGCGGGCTCAGCAGAGACCGTAAATCCATCCTATAACAACTCTGGGGAACGAGAACATCCCGAGTGGAAACCACAAAGATCAAAAAAAAAAACTCTGAGGAAATCAAAATGCGTGTATTCACTCACCAGGTAATCGGAACAGCGGAATGTTCTCGCTACTACTCGGTTCATCATCCATATTAACGAGATTCTCTTTGTGAGGAGCTGGAGGCGGTTCGGTAATGCTCATGCGGCTGATCGCATGATCAGAGAGAGTGCAGTTTGATGGCAACTGGTAGGCGCACTTGTTATGGACATTTACCTAGAAAACACTGTAAAATTGAAATTGACCGAAAAAATCAAAATTCAAAACCTAGTAGGAAAATTGGCTGTAAAAATAAAATATGTAAAAGAAAAGTATGTCATGTACCCTTACCCCACAATCTCTGCATTTGAGACCTTGTCGAATAAGTCCCTTAAGCATTTTATCACAAATCTTGCACTTTGTTGGTGTCAAGTAGTTATTCTCGGCTAGGGTATGGGGTAGTTCCAAAGCGGCACCTGAAAAAACATCAGTCATCTTCCACTACGGATGCCGGGAGAATCGAATAGCGCTCACTTGACGGTACTGACGGAATACCCACGCCGATCCCACCAGGACCCATAGGGACGGGGCTCATCGTCGACAGACCAGGTGTGGCTACAACGCAGTTGTTTCGTGGGGCTTCGGTGCAACGCCGATGAAAATTGCATCTGAAAAAAAANAAAAAAAACAGGCGATAAAAGAACTCTAAGGGAAGAATATACTTCAATTTAAATAAGAGTTCGATGGGAAAGAACGTGATTACAGTCAGACAAGAAATTATAACGAATACACTTCTTTCCATTACAGTGTAACGGAGGCAGGCCGACATGATCATGCACAAAATCTCTGATTCAACCTTGACTAAACTGCTTCGAATCAGGACTTGATTAGCGATAAAGCTACATTACCAGCCAAAAGGACGATCCAATCGAGAACATTAACAAAGTAGGAACGACTCCTCCAGGTAATGTTACTAGGAAGCCTACCTTGTTGAAATGAAATCAGTGGGGGCCGGCACCGGTTTTGAGCTCTTACTCTGTTCTATTTGGGCCTCTTTTAAAAGCGAAAGTACCTCTTAAGGTCTTCTGGGTGTCATAGAATGTCTTAAGAGTGAAGCCTATATTTTTACTATCGAGTTTGAATCTGCACCTCGTTCATGCCAAAACGATGTCTGATGAGAAAGTTCCCCTCAAGAGTGCTTTCATCGCCTCCTTTTTACAAAACTTTTGTCAAATTTTTATTTATGGCGAAATGAAGAATAAGAATGAGTCTTTGGCGTTAATCAATCCTGTTTCGAGATACGCCCTGCTTTTGACTTCCATTCGGAATTATAGTAGCTTTCGAGGGCGTAAGTGACCTATACAGTGACTTGGGGGCCAGCCGATGTGCAAGTCAGGGCTTCTATCCTACCAGGCGAGTCTGAAGCCAATCAATTGACTCCTGAAGGATGGAAGGCTTGCTTGTCTGGGCGGATGTTGATCCTAGATTCGATCCCCGTGTCATGCGCCTTGTGTCATTAGTTTCGTAACCTCCTTCTGATTGTTTTTCTAGAGTTCCTCAGAGATACTGTGTTCAAAAATCAAGAAGGCATGACTTTTTGATTTTTTCCGTAATTGTTTGCTCTCTCTATCACATTTCTTTTTGCAGAAAGGATTATCTTGACGAAAGCCGCAATACCCTAGCATTGTCCCCAGGAATCGCTCTAAATGTTTCTTCTTATGGCATGTAGTATGCGGGGTTAATACTGTCAAATATCCACGTGACATACACCCATACCCTCAAACATCCACGTGACATACACCCAGTTGCTTTTTGTATATAGCAACGATTATGACATAGGCAAGACTGTTTACATAATGAAAAGAAATCGAAAACTGAAAAAAACACTGAGAAGACGATACCGCACTTGCACGCCAGACAATGCAACCCCTGACGCATCAGACCAGTTAGCATTGCTCCACAGAAATCACAGAACGTTAATGTCATGTAGTTTTTCACCTGAAATCATCAAACTTTGCAAAGGAGAATGATGGTATGTCAGGCATTTGAAGGTGCAAAAAAAACTAAATTGACTGCGACCTCTAAAACATGTGGACGAGTAGGTTTCTCATTTCGATCCACCACAATCACTTCCACAATACAGCCATTATTCTGGAACACAAATAGACTACGAAAAGACATGAAAATTGCAAGAAAAACCAGTTTTACAGAGGGACAGAGAGTTTTACAGTGGGCTTCTATTGAAATTCTTTCTATCGGCTACTAAAACAACCCAAAATCTCTTTTACGACTGTTCTTGCTGGAGCAGCGCCGCTAAGCCGATGAACGTTCCGAAACGGTATCTCACCGAGTCTTGGAAGTAAACCAATTACTTACCAGCTGTGAAACGGAAGCGATGTGCTGTAGAACACTTGGTGAATCGTAATCATGTCGGAATAGGTGCAGCTCACTTTCACCAGGACTCGTTCGCTCAACCAGAGCTCGAGCCCGCCGACGTAACGATTCAAACACCTAAACTTCAGCAAATCCATCAAGAGATGTTCCCTATAAGGAGTCATTTTCTTAATCTACCTGAGGCTCATCGTTCCTTTCTAAAATCACCATCTCCTTGTTGTTACCATATTGTAGGAAGATGTGTATCCGCGGGTCGCCACTGCTGTCTGATTGCATTTCTGAAGGTATATAAAGGTGGATTTTAGCAGAAAGACTCTTTATGAGATTTTGCTGAATGGCACGACGGATTGGTCTCAGAGATATCGAGTCAACAAAGAAGGATATCAGACAGACAGGTGGCAAAGGTGGACAATACTTTTATGAAGGTTGTAGATGAGCAACACTTTCAAATGGTTTGAAGATGGCCAAGGAAAACTGCATGCATGGCCTACAACGACGACGGAATAGCCTGTCGATCATAAGAATCGTCCTTACAACAAGCAGAGTATGGGTTGGCAGATCTGCGTTATGATATGGTAACTATAATTACTGACTATTTCGATAAAACGCTTCAGGGAGTTACTCCTTCTGTTTACCTTGAAATAATAATAAGATTCCACTATTCTGAGATATTATAGTGATATTCACAGCCTGGAAAAAGACGATTTTCATCAGAGTTATGTGATGCTAGGTACTACTTCTGAGCAAACGTAGAACACATGACAGAAGTCTCTCTTAGGTACAGTTCTGGTTTCCAAAATGGATTTCCTGTGATGAACTGTGACTCTCCAAGGATAGCCAGTGGATGCTGTCGAGTAGAAATACATTCAACAAAGGGAGTATCAAGAGCTTCCAAAACAGAATAAACCCACTTCCAACTTACTGTGGTCAGCTGTGCGCAATGTCATAGTCATCTGGAAAGCTCGTCCAGCTACCCTCTTTCATGCAGTTTTTGTCGTCACAATCTCGTCCAACCCCCTCTTTTACTACTTTTTTGAAGTCTCATATTTCTCTGACTTTTGCACTATAATGGACTATCAGTTTCCTTACTCGTCTTAGACTAGACCCCAAAAATCATCGAGAATTTTGCCTTTGAACACGGATCAGTTGTTGTGATCCGGAAGATTTTCAAACATTACTGCTGAATACCGTAGGTTGCACTAAATTCGCGCATCCAGAAATCCAGTACAGGTTTTTTTTCCAATCTCTTTCTCTGATTCCACTCTAAATTAGAAACCATAATTTTACCAAATGAAGTTGAACTGCGTCAACCGGACGGGGCTGTTCATACTCCATGAAGTGAGCCATGCATAGAAAATGCAAAGTATTTTCGAGAGATTGATATATTTTGTTCAGAATTGCTACGCAAAGAAAATGCTTTTACGAGCGCTAGAGCCAGCTGTATTTATACTTCCACTATCTTCCCTCCGTTTTTTAGTTATAGACTCTTCCGATCGACCCGAAACTGGAATAGCGCTAGTTATTGCTTGTTTCCGAAACGAACTAGCCAAAAAACAAACGGCAATCTTATATTGCTTCAGTAAAATAAAGTACAAAATACGACAGGAATGTCTACAACTTCGAACATTGCAGAGAATGTCCGATTCTCTCCGCAAACTCATTAATCACAACAATGCCCTCGGACTACAAAAAGTAGCGAAATTTATAGGCAACGTTAAGGCAAAACTAGACAGAACAGTCTGAACATAAGTAGCAGGTTGCGGAAAAAAACAGAGTCAAAATAATTTAAGGCGGTATTTGCTTTTAGCAATCCCACTTTGGAAAGTGCCAGGCATTCGACTTTCATTTAGAATCGTAGTAGCGTTCTGATTTTGTTTGGTAGTCTACACAACGACTTACGGTGACCAGCCAATGTATCGAGGCGGTGCTTTTCTCCCAAAGACAAGTCTTGTACAAAGTAAGCAACCCTGGAGGGATGGAAGGCTTGGTTAGCCTAAGCGAATATCAATCCGGAATTGGCACTCGTGACCATGTATGTGAAATAGTGCACCATTTGCTTCTAGACCCCATTTGGGTAGGTATACAATCCAAAATCCAACTATTTAAAGCGATCGGCACAATTTTCCTCAATGGTGAGCTTCAAGCAACGTAGACAACAACTAAAGGCTCTTAATGGGCCAGAGCTTCGAGAACCTAACAAGAAATATGAAATTGCTGATTGTATTATACGATAAATGAACGACCTCAAGAGGGCACTGATGTAAGTGTGACCGCTCTGAGGTAATATTAGGGTATCAGCGAATGTAGTCGTTGAACATTTTCAACGGATCGGAAATAGGAACTATGCAAAATGCGTATTCGAGTATGCTGTCGGGTGAGATGTGATGGTTGTGTGAACCGGTTTTCATTAGAGCATCTGCCTCACGCGAAATAATCAATTTCGACACAAATCGAGAAATTCCGCAGATTTTGGTAGAACGATGGCAAATCACTTAGTGCAAGCTCTTCTGATGTGCCTGATATACACTGAAATCTTCTGACAAGTCGGCACTAAGTGGGAAAGACGATCCGTGTAGATTCAATGGCTGGTCTATCACGGTTTAATAAAGTCGAAGGACAAACTTTTCCGCGGTTGGCCAATTTTATTCTGGGATGTGCCTCTGCACCCAATTTCCAATCGGAATCGTAGTGGAGTTTTGAATGCATACATGGTCTATATAATGACTTTTGATGGCCAACCGATGTACAAGTCAGCACTTTTATCCTCCCAGACGATTCTAATAGGAACTAACCAGAACCCGGAATATGGAAGGCTTCGTTGTCTTGGACCAGTGTCGATCCAGGATTCGATCCTAGGACCACATGCATAGCAGGTCTCCACTTGGTACTACCTCACCTCCGTCCGAGACTAATTCCTCAGAATGTGTCAGGCTGCTTCTGTTCAGTTCAGAACATAGCAGGACTTGAATAACACTCATAACCTACTGGCAACCTACACAGGCCGGCTAAATATTCCAACCTCTAAACCAATTCTAGGGCAATAAAGCGAATCTGTATGGGTGGAAGTTGTAGTGAAACGAAGCAGGGCGATACCGGTAGTAACGGCCCCCTTTTGCCAATGCGTAATCATTGAGTAAGGAGGAACTTATATGCATCGACCAAATTCTTGATTATGCTGTATGTTTTGCAAATGCAATAGAGTATAGCAGAAATTAAGTAGATGGAGAGCCTTGTTCTCGTGAATGGGATTGGTTCTGAAGAGTACGAATGAGATGATGAGGTACTTCTGAGATTAATTATCCAAAATAAAACGTGACATTTCAGCAGAACCCAAAATTATAAAAAACAACGAAGGCAGCAATTCAGCCACACCCATTCACACCCAGTCACCAGATTTACATCAAGACATTTAAAAACCGGCGACAATTCCAAGCCCTTTGAAAGGTAGACAAGGGCTAGGTCTCTGGCGTAGTCCTGGTGTCGTCGCGGTGTCAAACGAACAGCAGGACGACCGCCCGCGTGATGGTCAGATTGAAACTGCTGAATTTCTCGTAGAGTTTGCTCACCAGCAGAATCAAACCTTCCATGAATGCAGGTGGGGCTAGCATATTGGAAACTAGAAAGAGAAAAGAGAAAATTTTTTTCCAGCTTTCACTGAGCCTTTTCATGTTGCCCAAATGATACAATCGGACCTCATTTAATTGTAGAGTTCTGTAAATTCAATGTATATTCAGCCTATGGAATGACTTCGTATTCTTAGCAGATGCACATTTCATTGCAGTTATCCCCTCAGATGGGTCATGTATCAATTGGACAACTCGGAATGAAAGCCTAGATCGCCTTAGATGGAGCAACAACCGGGATGTGTTCACCTTACGGCAGCACTACAAACAAATTAACATGTCGGTTAAACCGAGGGGAATAGCCAAATATTTTAGCTAACTTCTATAAACAAAGGGTGGACGATACGGTTGCGATAGGCAGACACGTGAAGACAGATGAACATCCATAGTTGCGGTCCTGTTTGAAAATTTTTCTATCCCTACTTAGTAATTCTAAGTAGTCTATTTACTCGAATTTTGCATAAAAAGTATTCTATCGGTTTGGTTGCAGATTAGTTTTCGTCATCAATTAAGGTAACCGATCATGGAAGGGAATCAAAAACATTTCGATTTTTTCTTTTTTTTAGGATACAATCAGGCTAGCACAAAAGGGGTGAGGGGTTGTAGGAGCCGGACGAAGAATTGCAGCGCTCTGAACTTAGCTCTACCGAAACGACTAGACTTTCTATTCCATACCGGTTTTGCTAGACGAGGGAGGCATGATCATCAAAAATCTTCCGCGACTCATTGCATAGGCCTAATTTACATGAGAAGGTTCAACGATCCTAACAAAAATCGAATACATGGCTCAACTTGAATAAGCTGTGCGGTACGTAGCACCTTGCAAGTCAGTTACACCTCAAAAAGACCAAACCCGACTTTTAATGGATGGGAAAAAGGTAAAACACGCGACTACGCATTGCTGCCATTAAAACCGAAATACAGTCAGGTTTCAGTTACTTTTTTTATCCTTTTGAGTGAAAAGCGAAAGTGTTGGTGAGGAGTGGTAGGTGTGGCGAGAAAAGCGACAAAATCGGCAGAATTTGCAAAATACATAGGTTTTTCAAAATAATGAAGGTAGGAGTTGTACGAGATTGTCGTAGCGGAAATGCTGTGGAATGATGTCTGGACGAGATTACAGTTGTTGCAATTACGTAGGGATCTGGCTACATTAAGCCAAGAGCACCCGAATTGCCTCTCGCTGTCGTTATCGGTCACGACTAGTTTTTGAATTTGCAACATGCATGTGCCCCTCGTAAATGGTGCAGCCAATACAAAGCCCTAAAGGCACAGTGATAGTCCAGAGTACTGTAAAAGTAAAACGTGAAAATAGGCGTATTTAGAGAAATATAAGGCTCCAAAATTGTAGTAAAATTAGGGGTCGGACGAGAGTAAGACGACGACGACGAGAATACAGCATACAGCTGGCTGCAGTAAGCTACCTACGTGCAATGTGTGGGTCTCGGTGCGAGTAGTGTAACTCTTTCAGCTTATACAACACTTAAAAACTCGTCCGCCTTGGGTATGTTCGTCGGCTAAGCCGGTTTCAGGGTCCTTATTGCGCCCTATTCGACAGTTTTTCGACTCGACGGCCTTCTCAAGACTATCCTCAAGGGTCACAGTTCCGCCAAAAGCCATTTTAACGTGAGCTGTTCCTTTAAACTCGTCCACCTCTGGGCGGGGCGTACAGTGCAACTTTTGAGATTCATTCTGAGTGGATATTTCGGAGACCACTCTTTGCGCCTTTCAGAATTGTTCTGATGAAATAAAACAACTTATGCTGATTAAAAGGGTTCGCAGAATTGTGCGCATCGAATGATTTGCAGAATTTCTGAAGTTTCAGCAAAAACTATGCTCCAATCAAATACATGATGACTAAGCGGATCCGTGGACCTGGCCCAAAGTGAAGAATAATTCTTCCAAAAAGTTCTTGGAGCAGAACCAACTGCCGATGAGTCATCTATCAACTAGAAGAAAAGAATCCGAGAAAGATCAGATTCAAGGGTTCTGCAGAACAACTCAGCATTAAGAACGATGAACATGGGAAAAAGTGAGAATCCAGAGAATACTGTGACAGTTGGATGTCTGCGTGTCGTGAAACGAGAACATCTGAGTCACCTTCGCCGTCGTCTTCAAGGAGCAGGTTCGCGTTGTGGCCTATTTTGACGATCGGCGGAACGGCAACGTACTCTTTTACACTCACACTTAATCATAGCTAGTTAGAACGGCTTAAATTCTTCCAAGCTAGCTAAATTGATAGCTGATCACCTTTGCACGATGTCATCGTGTCGGTGGTGTCGTCAGACAAGGGTTGGGAACTGTAACTTGTCGATGCCGCCACACTAATAGCTTACTAGTTTTGTGACCATGCAGGAAGGAATGTTATGGGGTATTATTATCCCCGGATAAACTGAAAGCCGTCCTATTGATTGTCACCTAGCTGGAAGGAAGGAAAAAGATAGTAGCAATATTAGCTGGAACGGCAACCCAGGCGTACCGGAACTTGGCAGAGTGGCTTCAGTAGTGAAGCGTTCCCATGCTGCAAAGCAGCTTGTCAGTTTCAGACGGGTCTTGGTGACCTGCGTTCCAAATATCAAAGTCATAACTCCTTCCTTTCATACGTCCTGTTCGCTCAGACCCAAACATAGTATTATAATATGCCTTCCCTACGATAAGTCTCCAGAGCGCTACCATGAATGCTCTCCAGAAACTCCAAGATGTCGTAAGAAGCTGCCATTCTGTCGTCATGCCGCTCACTGTCATGCCATTTGTTCTAGCAACTCATAGATAGAGCGCTAGGGTGAAAAATCAGATGGGATTATACGTCTCGTTTCCATTGAGGTAGAAGGAGTCAGGAGTGGATTGATCGAGAACTTATTGAAAGAGCTTGATGTATGAGCCAGTTCTCATTTGTTCTCATGTGGAGCCTCGTATCTATCATAAAGTTTCAAACAAAGAGCTTCTGCGGTGATACAAAGTAGGAAGGCTGAATGATTGAAATCTCTTCGTTTCACGCCCCACTTCACTATGCTTTGCAGACAAGTGGGTAAACTTCAAAGGCGTAGTTCACCGACTGCACGGTGTTCCGAATACCATCATTGAAAGAAGATCAGGATCAATGATGGCTCACATGCCAAGTAATAGAAGACCAGATCGGCCGCCATGCGATTTTTCGATGGTCATTACACCGGGGCGATTATTGACTGGATAACTCAGGACGACCACGCCATGTCAGGATTTTTACGAATCTATGAACAAAAGACTGCTGTGCCTTGTTCTCTTCGAGCGAGGACAATTCACTGGACTTCTATGACTTCAGACAGGGACGAATGGAGACGTTACTGGCGCCCGCTCGAGGATAAAGATGTTCAGTGGGACGACCGAAAGGAGGTGATACAGAGGTAAATGACACCGCTACTAAACACATAGTCCAAGAATGGTGATCAAGCTAGATATGGGACCCATCTGGGGGAAGGAAACACTGACTTCTCAAGTCTGGCGGCAATCCATTCTTCCATACCGCACGAAATTATTCAAATGCCATTACAATTCTCAATAGATTTCGAGGGTGAGGGGCATCTCGGAGTGGGTCCAATCATTGCCAACAACGTAATCCTTTTAACTTTATGAATACAATTATGGATACCTTCTCCTATCAATGGACAATGAAAAATGGACCCCCTAATTATGGACAGTGAAAAATCTGCTTGTCAATTATGGAGTTGTAACACTGGATAGCAGCTCTAAAGTTCCCGTCATAGCTGAGAAGTCAGTTCACCTCACATTAGTAAAAAATTGTTCAGTGAATAATCCTATACATAGTCTTTAGCCACTAATATTGCGAGTATAATTCAAAATAATTATTGATTTTGCGCGCGTATGATCAATTGCGACCCTTGGAACCGTGAAAAACATGAAATGTTAATATCGATTCCACCTTTTTCCATGAACTTCAAGGCAAAACAATTTTGGGACATTGATTAGAACCAAATTTTCCATTTCTTCTATGATGAAATCTGGGATGTCCAGGAACTGTCAAATAGCCTGAGATCTTCAATAGCTCTCACAAAAAAAATATCATTGGCGTTCCCATGTGGGCTAATCACTGTATACTTCATGTTGTTCCTAATGCACAGGGCATTATGAGCTTATGGTAAGAAGGTCATTAGGTCCGGCAACTAATCGATATATTGATCACAAGAAAGTTCTTTTATGAGCCCGTCAGAATTATGGTTGAATGCAGAACAGAAGTATAGTCTGTGAAAAACTCTGAACTGAGCTGCGGAAAACAGACAGCTACGAGTGTTGAGAAATTGACTGAGCGGAAACGCGCTGACGCAGAAAGCATAAACGTGGATGCCAGTTATGGAAAGCTACAAAAATATTGATTTCGAAATAAACCGGTATTTTAACGGTTTCACGGGCTCAGTTAAGTATGGAAACATTGAAGAAGTAGGAAATAAAAAGAAAAAGGAGCGGTCATTTCGAGACGGGATGTACCCTTTTGCTTGTTTAATCGATGAAGATGAAAAGCGCTAGCTGAATGCAAGGAGCAGCGCAAAATTTCTCGGAAGTTCTATCGATCGTTCACCCAGGTCGTGTTAGCGATGTCCATCGCCCGACTGGTCGGAAACCGGTCTGGGCGCCGCCCTGTCGTCGAGATGGTCAGCCTAGCCCGGTCAGGAACAAGCCGTGAAATTAATCTCACAAGGCTATGTTAAGACAATAGCAATCTATTTCTTGACATTGAGACGTAAAAATGAAAATTAAGTGGCTGTTGGCTTCTGTCAAAACTTCTTTGGGATACGCCATGCTTTTGTTACTCATTCAGAACCGTGGTAGCGTCTCAAATCGTAATTAGCCCATTCAATGATTCGCTGTGATCAGCAGATCAAAGAATCGGTGTTTCGGCTCTTCCAAACAGCATTCCCTCTAAATCACGATGGAGTAATGGAAGGCCTTCTGACAGACCTGGTGGGTTCTGTTATAGACCCAGACTTTGTTCACAGAGCGACTATGGCAGTGACTGTACCCACTGTACTAACCAAACTGTAATAAACTCGCAAAGGTGCTGCATTAAGCCTTCACGCAACGACCCGCCGCATATCGAAGCGGTTCTGGTGCTGTCTGCGCTCTCTGTCCCATAAGGTGTTTGGTTGCGCGGTCTCTCGATGTAATTGAGCGGCGCGAAGAGCAGGTTTGCTCATCAACAAAAGGGAGCCACTGATTCTCTTATTTACGAAGAAATCGCCATCATGCAAGAGGGAGGCTTGCGACAAGAGAAATCTACCGGCCTGTAACGACCACTTAACCCTTTACTGATGTAAGAGCACAACACATCTCAGCAAGATCGACCATATTTGGACACTCACTACTCTTATTATGAAATATTTATTAGGCTGTAACGGCACAAACAAATGCGAATGAACCGATCAGAATTCATCAATATCCGATGAATACTCAACGATTTGTCACATACCCGCTTTGGCTGAACGGAGAAAAGTAACCTGAAATCTCTTAATGATGCAATATTGAGAAATCTGATGAATCTACAGCTAGACGAATGAAGCCTAGGAAGGCTTCGAGGATGATGCTATTCATGCAAAGAATTATCGGAAAACAGGCCGAAAGTACGAGAAGTACTTGATCAGCATTCGTGGCCGAACAGTTCATGCATCTTGGAGCTATTTCGATCAAATGAGAATCTCTCGCATCAGAAGCCATAAGAGCTTGGGAAGCCCAGTTAACATAAGCTATAATACTTGAGAGCTATAATACTTGCATAGCTTGAAGTCGGCGAAGACGTTAAACGTAACATCGAATATACAAGACTTCCTCTCGACATGTTGACGAGCCTCTTGATGAGAATGTACCCGGAAATGAGGGCGAAAAAGAAGAAAAAGAAAATTGTCAACTGATTGATCAGAGAAATAACTAAAGAAAATATGAGAAACTCTATAAGAGAAAGTAGGGAAGGGAAGAGCCTTACACCGTTATAGAACATCTAAAACACGTCCTAGAAAGGTAAAATTGCGATCGGGAATCAATTAGAACCTAAAAGCCCGTATCAGTCATCACGAAAAAATGATAATAGATAGACATCCACAGATAAGATACTACTTGACTAGGTATGGTCTTCGAGACTATTAAAAATTGGCTTCCTAGAATACCGTCGATACATATCTCTCTCATCATACACAGCACTTATATCGGCCAACAAATTTGGATCCATGCAGATGAAGTCATGAATGTTGTTCAAACCGTTCTTCAAAATCGGGTCCCATTCTGGTGGAGGAGACAACCAGGCTCCATCTTCAGATTTCATATGCGATCGATCACTTGAAAAATGAGTCAAATACTCAGCACATGGGATGACCCGGAAACACCTAAAACTGAAGAAATATGAGATGGCACTGTGTTGCAGCAACCCTGGATTGTTCACCTGCCGTACTGAGGTGGAATGTTCCACTCCTCCGGCTGGATACCTCCGGTCCAATACTCATCAAAACTGCACGGAAACGGTAGAGTGGTGTCCAAATCCCAGACCAGAGCACCGCCATCGTCTAGCTGTTCCAGCATTACAACGTGGTAGTCCCACAGCACAAAAGGCCTGAACATCAGCGTAATTCATGTAACAGGTTGTCGTAATTCATGAGAAAAAAAAGGCGAGAAACACTAAAGGAACCGCCCAATTTTTACCAAACTCTTCTATAAACTCTCAATAAAAAACACTCATTAGAAAAATGAAACATGGGCTCAATGGTGCGGATTATTTTCACACATCGGTTGATCCTCAGAAGAAAATGGAATGTGTCCCTCTGTCCCTCAGTTCATATACAACCAACTTCAGAAGTAAAGTACGCTTATAATCCTTCGCTAGCAAGTAAGTCTAGGCAAAGTAAACAAAAGAGAACTCAATACATATGCATATAAAGTGTTCCTAAACGAACCTATCACCAGATGCTACCTGCGAGAACAGTGGTACGCATTTGTGGGAATTTGAGATGAAGACCACAAAGAATCGCGTCTGCTCTGACGATGGTATTTTTTCACAAAGCCTACAAGATGGAATTTGCCGTTTTCATTCTAATTTATTTCATTTCAGCGTATAATGATACGATTTTTTTTTCGGTTGACAGCAAAAATGAAAAATACCAATACCGATTGTAAAGTACACACCTGTAGATATTTTCTTCGCAGTAACATTTTGTATAATCACAATCATCTCTGGAGCCAAAAAATGAACTCATATGAACTGAAAATCTGTAATGGTGTTTAATCTTGGTAGAAAGGAATCCGAATCAATTTATGTATCATGGGACCGAAAAAGCATAGAAAAGCATGTCGATACTACGATTTCCCGTTCGAGGCAAATTGAGCAAAGTAAAACTTTTATTTTATGTGTTTGGCTGCAATCACGAGAATTGATCACGGATATCCTAGTAAAACTATAAAACTAGTCGTTAGTCCATAATGTTGCGCCGAAGTGCAACATCCAGTAACGAACTATGTAGGCACTATTAGAGAAATCGAACACTGAGTTTTCTAACAATTCATCCTATTCAGCTCTCCACAAAGAGCATGAGTATTGGAAAGTAATTTGAGGCGTATCTAACGGCATGTAGAAAGGAGAGCACCTGTTGTATGAGACCGTATAAAACTAGAAGAACATGGAAAATAAAACATAACAAGGAGCAAGCAGTTAGTAAACAAACCCTGACGATAAACATCGTTCATAGATCCTATTGAATTACATAAGACTAAACCAGTATCATTAATGCTCCTAATAACTTAGACATCGAGATGCATTCGCGTAGCTCCAGAATCAAAATGCATTCCAATTGCAGGACGCAACTCTTCATTGATGAATCGCATAGTTTGCGATTCACAACGGCCAGTGAAACGAATCGGTTCATCCACCAATGCCATTACCCGCTCGCGTACCTGGACGAGAAATATTGAGTAGATGGTTTAATGCTCCTTTATTAGTTTCTTACCGGGTCAAAGAATGGGCTTTGAAGAATATCCTCCATATGAACAACTTGCGTGGCTTGTTTCTTCTTAGCTTCCAGTGCCGTTTCTCGAATAACAGCATGGGCCTCAAGTTATAAGATTTTAACGTTTTTGTACAGCATAAGGTATGAGAAGAATAGTGGGCGTGTATTATGTAATTCTAGGTTCCGTGAGTCTTGTAGAAGTATGTCGATTTTTGGTGGTGAACCCATCGCTTAAAGGCCACAAAGAGAAGCAAGGAGTAAAAAAAGCTCACTTCTTGTCGATCAACGCCTTCTTCTGTCAGCCACATCATCGCCTTTTCGAGTCCAAGAAATGGTAGCTCTTCTCGAACAGTCCGAGCAACATTTTCTGTTTGCACAGTAAGGCCTTCGAAGATATTCTAAATAATCAAGCACGATCGTCCATAATCTTCACCAAGCATCAGCGTACGTTATAAGAAGTATCGAATCAGCACACACCTGAAGGGTTGACAGCATGGCTTCTGTTGTGAGGATAGTGTCCGGAATAAGCATTCGACGATTCGCTGAGTCGTCAAGGGTTCGTTCCAAGCCTTGATCGCTCAGAATATTCAGTGCTTCCTAGAATAAGCCGATAACAGTTTTGTTTTCAGAAAAAAGTGCCGACAAGAAGGGTTTTACAGAAAAAAATAAGGAAGGACCTACAAAAAGTCAAACCTGGGGAGCATGAATGAGCCGTCTCGCTAACGAACAACAACGCTCACTTTTCATAGGATTCTTCTTATATGGCATAGCAGAGGAACCAATTTGATCCTGCAAAAAGTCGCAACTGCCAAGGCAGAAGAATACAAATATAAGAATAACACACACATAATATAGCTAGATAATATTCACTCAAAAGTGGATGTAACTGTAAACAATTAAGATCGCTGGATGATAGACTACCTTGACTATTCCCTCGCCCTTCAGATAATCCAATAAAAAGCTCGCCTTCAAAAGAACTGCGTAAGACGTACCTTTTCGAAAGGTTCAAGAAGTTCTCCCATAGCTTGAAGGACGCGAATATCCGTACATATTTTCTTAACTGCAGCACCAATTGCAGCTAGAGCGAATACTAACTGTACGTCCTGAATCGGCTCGTTGACACTGATATGCTCTGACTACCTAACAAGAATGGAACTGAGATGTTACCTGTTGCCTAGAGTACGTTTGCCCTGTTATAAAGAATTTTTTACTGAAACCAGCCTTGGCAGTGACAAGCTCGTCCAATCTTTCGACCTAAAACATTTCAGGGTGAGCCCAATGATAGGAAAGACATATGAAAAATAGGGAAATTGAATCCAACCATCAGTTCATCTCCGCCAAATAGCGTCATGAAGGAATCCTGGGTTCCCGTAGCTCCTTTGATTCCCCGGAACTTCATTGTATTGTAGAAATGCTTCAGCTGAAGAAGAAGAGTCTGAGTCATAAACTATGTATAGTTATCTGCAGTATAAAGAAAGGCCTTATAAATGGTTTACTGACAAGTAAGTAAAGTCATGAGCAAAATTTCCAAGTCACTATAGTCATAAAGAGTAATAAACTATTTTAGGCATGAAAACACACCGAAATACTTATACGAACCTGCTCGAAAGCCATGAGCAACTCTTGTGCCCACAAGGCAGCTCTTTTCCCAACAGTTACCAGCGATGCAGTCTGGTAATGAGTTCGACCGACAGTGACATGCGATTTTTCACGTTCTGCGAATGTTGCCATTCGATCGAGCACGGTAGCGGCCCTTGTAACAATATAGTTGAGAGAAAAAAGGAAGAAAAGGAAAAGAGAGAAAAAAGCAAAGCAAGCACTTTATGAAATGGATACTAGTGGAGTCTCAGCCTCACAAAGTTAGAAATCTGATCATTCAGGGTACGTTAAGCGAGGGCAAGTGTAAATACCTTGCAAGAAGATGTCCAACAGCTTCTTTGATAACGATCAGATCGGCATTATCTTGGACATAACAAGAAGTTGCACCAAGGTGGATTATTCCTGCAGCTTTGGGACATACCTGAAGATGACTAAAACAGTGTTCATTCATATCCCACAGAATACTGGCAATGTTTATCTCACCGTTATAGACCATCTTTCTGTAACCCGCATCTTTTCTTAGAGCAAGATATGCTCTACTGTTGAAAGTCATGGTACTCAAGATGCTTTCAAAAAGAAAATTTCCATTCCGTTAAAAAACAAAGACCCCCAGAAACTTTTCTTCTCACTTCGAATCCCCTCAACAGGGCCCTCTCTAATGAAAGATCAGAACGAAAAATCAGCAAGTTTTCATTTAAAAAGAATCTTACTCACAGCTCCAAAAGCATGATTATGAGCCATAACGTCATGCTTCAAACGGCGCTCTTCTTCGCGAATTTTATTCCAGTCAATATTATCACGCTGTTCTTTCATCTCCTCAATAGCATCCGGGGTGACCTGAATTTAAACTTCGAATGCTTTTCAGAAGAGAGTCGACAAACCGAGAAAGGATCTATAAACCTCATCTATAGAAGTGAAATTAGGGAAACCTTTGGCAATGCTGATCACGATAAGTAATCATAGTAGCTTCATCAAAATACCTGAGTGAGGCCTAATTCAAGTTCAGCTTCAGCTAGCCAGATCCACAGTTGCCTCCACAGAACGGTCTACAATAATCGAGGGTAAAAAAATGGAAAAAATAGACGAGCGCAAAGATATTCACCTTATTCCTTTCAGAAAAGAGCTCGAGAAGTGGGCTTCGTCTACAGTAGCGGCTGGCCAGAACCGACTCGTAACGGTTTTCGATCTGCATATTCGTAAGGAAGCAGCCTGAATAAAATAGCTTCAAAGCTGTGTATTGCCTAGCCAGTATCGTAAGCAGTAGGTTTTGAAAAGAAAAACAAATATACATCATATCAACAAACCATAGAAAATTAATATGATGTA